GCTTGACAACAGAGCACTAACCTTAACAACAGGACTCTAACCTTAGCAACCAACCCATAACCTTAACAATAGGGCGCTAACCTTAGCAACCAATCCATAAGCATGACAACCAGCACATAACCTTGACAGCCAGTCCATGATCTTTCATAACAAAACCATAACATCAACAATACGACCCCGTGATCTTCTTAATCCATAAGCCTAACAACAGAGAGCTAAGCATTACAACAAGGAGCTAATGTTAGCTACCATTCCATAAGTTTAACAACAGAAATCTAACCTTAACAACCAATACATAAGCTTGACAACAGAGCACTAACCTTAACAACAGGACTCTAACCTTAGCAACCAACCCATAACCTTAACAATAGGGCGCTAACCTTAGCAACCAATCCATAAGCATGACAACCAGCACATAACCTTGACAGCCAGTCCATGATCTTTCATAACAAAACCATAACATCAACAATACGACCCCGTGATCTTCTTAATCCATAAGCCTAACAACAGAGAGCTAAGCATTACAACAAGGAGCTAATGTTAGCTACCATTCCATAAGTTTAACAACAGAAATCTAACCTTAACAACCAATACATAAGCTTGACAACAGAGCACTAACCTTAACAACAGGACTCTAACCTTAGCAACCAACCCATAACCTTAACAATAGGGCGCTAACCTTAGCAACCAATCCATAAGCATGACAACCAGCACATAACCTTGACAGCCAGTCCATGATCTTTCATAACAAAACCATAACATCAACAATACGACCCCGTGATCTTCTTAATCCATAAGCCTAACAACAGAGAGCTAAGCATTACAACAAGGAGCTAATGTTAGCTACCATTCCATAAGTTTAACAACAGAAATCTAACCTTAACAACCAATACATAAGCTTGACAACAGAGCACTAACCTTAACAACAGGACTCTAACCTTAGCAACCAACCCATAACCTTAACAATAGGGCGCTAACCTTAGCAACCAATCCATAAGCATGACAACCAGCACATAACCTTGACAGCCAGTCCATGATCTTTCATAACAAAACCATAACATCAACAATACGACCCCGTGATCTTCTTAATCCATAAGCCTAACAACAGAGAGCTAAGCATTACAACAAGGAGCTAATGTTAGCTACCATTCCATAAGTTTAACAACAGAAATCTAACCTTAACAACCAATACATAAGCTTGACAACAGAGCACTAACCTTAACAACAGGACTCTAACCTTAGCAACCAACCCATAACCTTAACAATAGGGCGCTAACCTTAGCAACCAATCCATAAGCATGACAACCAGCACATAACCTTGACAGCCAGTCCATGATCTTTCATAACAAAACCATAACATCAACAATACGACCCCGTGATCTTCTTAATCCATAAGCCTAACAACAGAGAGCTAAGCATTACAACAAGGAGCTAATGTTAGCTACCATTCCATAAGTTTAACAACAGAAATCTAACCTTAACAACCAATACATAAGCTTGACAACAGAGCACTAACCTTAACAACAGGACTCTAACCTTTATTCCCAAATCATGTTTACCGGATGCTAAAATATTCATATGGGTTAATACTAGCTCAAGAGCTAGATAGAGTTGCCTCTCTTGATTTTTGAAAATCAATGATGATTTGGTTTCATGATTTAAACTTTGATTTATGATTTCAATTGGTTGATTTGTTTTCATTTGAAAACTTTTTGCATGATTCTCATGTTCCTCTTCTTTTGATTTCATAAATCTATTCTTTTATATGGTTTTTATATTTTTTTTGTGCTAATGAGACACTTCTTTCATATTAACATATTTATATGTGTTCTCATTGTCCTTTTGTATGTGAGTGGTGTTTAGCATATTTTTCATCTATGCTTGCTCACATATGTTTGCCATGATCTTCATTTCACATATTCTATATGGCATTTTGATAGGGGGAGCAATCCCTATATCTTTTTATGTTTGATACTCACCCGTGCTTATTGATAGGGGGAGCTTTCGCTCTCTTATTCTTTTGTCCCCTTTTTGATGTTGTCAAAGGGGGAGAAATATTGTGAGTATATTCTTTCTTGTTTATATGCATGATATATTATACATCGTATGTTCATTTCCTTTCATGCATATATACTTTTTGTAAATTGTTTGTCATCATCAAAAAGGGGGAGATTGTTGGCCTTCTTGTTTTGATGATGTTTAACAAACAATTTACCACTAATGTTGTTTGTCTAGTATTTGTGTTTTCGTATTTATTATAGACAAACAACGTTGTTGGAGGGTTTGATGGATTAAGCCTACACGATCATATCAAAAGGAGGTTGGCGGAATGTCGGTGAAGCCTTGCTATTCAAAGTTCAAGATCCAAGTTCAAGCTTCATCCGCGAGATTACCAAGTCAAGCTTATTGAAGACCAATCAAGCTTGGGTAAATTAGTTTTAGGTTCAATATCATATACACACACGTATTTGGTTTCTATGTATATATATAGTTATATATATACATGCATGGTTTTGGGTTTTTCATGTTTTGAATACTTTTGCAAAATAATGAGATTTCACAATTGGGAAATGCAAATTGGAAAATTCTTTTTGTAACATGTTCAAAATATCATTTGCAAACATTTCTCAAAGTTTCATCAAGTTTGGAATTGATTTGTTATGTTTAAAGGAATTTACAAATTCACGTTTTCGTTCGTGCACATGTTCGTGCATGTTTTACAAAACTGATGAGTTTTCACAAATGAGAAGTGATATCTGAAAAATACTTTCTCTGACATGTTTATCTACATATTTAGAAACTTCCCACAAAGTTTTACTATTTTTGGAGTTGATTTACTATGCCTAATTGATTTTACAAAATCGTGTATCACAGCAGATTTTCAGAAACTGTATTTCTGTGTTAAAACATTTATTTCTCTCAACTGGAAAATTATTTTTCCGAAATTCTTTCTCTAATATGTTTTTATACATGTCTAGAACCTTTCCTCAAAATTGAATAATTTTGGGAGCTGTTTTACTATTTTTAACCGATTTTATAAAATCGGATATACCTGCTTCAGTACCGTCGGTCGACCGAAATTTCCGCCGGTCGACCGAAATTTACCATCGGTCGACCGAAATTTCCACCCGAAGAGTTTGGTTTGTGGAGCAAATTTCACAAGAGCAAGTGGAGATCATCCTTGGTGTTTGAGCATTCATTCTTCTCCCTCTCTCTTGTCATCTATAGAGAAGTTTCCTTAAACTCAATTCTAGCATTTTATAAGTTTGTTCTTAATTTCATAAGCTAGATTTCATATTGAGTTTATATTGTTTTATCTCTTTGTTCACACACAACCTATTGAGCTTATTGTATTTACATTCATAGTATAATTTGGGGTTGTGGGTTTGTGACTAAGAGTTGTGCTTAATTGAGTTCTCACCTTGTTTAGAGAACAATCAAATTGATTTATATTGTGCTTAATTGTGAGGATTCACTTGTAATACACTTGTACACCGAGAGAAGTGTGTGGTGAGAGATGGGGTCGAATCCAAGAGGAGTGGCGTCGGTTGACGTGCCTAGGGAGAGGTTGTAACCGAGCACTTGAGGAAGAGGACACGGGCTAGGACCAACACTTAGTGTGTGAGGTGTGATTGCATAGTGATTGTATTGTGATGTGTAAACGTTGTTCGGGTGAACGTAGAAAACCCGGTTGTGATAGTGGAGATCTCCTCGAGGTGAGGAGCGGGGACGTAGGTCGTGGGGACCGAACCTCGTAAACATATCCTTTGTTTGTGATTGCATTGGCGCACTTGTTTTCATGTTCATATCTTACATCGTCATTGTGTATTGCTTATTGATCATTTTGCCCTATCACATTTGTAGTTAAATTGTTTACCCCTTGTGTTAGTTTTATATCCTTGCATATATCATAGGATATATCTCTTTGTTGTTCATATTGCTTATCCTAGCTTATATATAGTTGTTTTATTTCATACTTGCTAGGATAACTTATTAATTAATTTTTAATTGGTATTTAATCGGATTAGATTAGCATAAGACCCTAATCACCCCCCTCTAGGGTCTAACAGTGTCGGCGATTGGCCGGCATGAACTCCCGTTAAGGAGTTATAGATTGGTATACCCCCTCATTGAACTGGAGGGGGAGATTGTTGCGGGTCCATCCCAAGATAAGGCCCACATGAGGTCCACATGAATTAAATTCTATCTAGATGAGGATTTGGAGTATCTATTTGTAATAGGAATAGATTTGGAGGACTTGAAAATAAAATTCCTTTATAAAGGAATTCTATTAATGAGAACCCTATAATCAATTTTTGGTGCTACAGGAACCCGAGAGAGAAAAAGAGGGGAGAGAGAGAAAGTTCAGATTCTAGATAGCTCGGTTGTCCGATTGCAGTGATTCAAGAGTCGTTGTTTTCAGAACGACAACGCCGTCAAGAGTACGGTGTTGGTTTCTCCGTGGGTATTGGAGATTTTTGATGAGACAGGTTTTAGGATTTTAATGCCCTAGAGGTAACACTGTATCTTTCTCTTGTGATTTAATCCTCAAGTTAAGGTGTAACTTGGAAGGATTGTACTTTTGATTCATAGTGAAATATTTGTCTTTGGTTGCCCCGTGGACGTAGACACGATTTACCGAACCATATTAAATCTTGTTGTTTGCTTGCGTATGGTATTTTTATTGGTGCAACTATTTATTTAGTATTTAATTCCGCAAATTAATCTCCATAAAATTCTTAACACCTTTCTCTTTACTAAAGCAGGTATACTCAATCTAGTAGTCTAATACCTGTGAAGAAATTTCTGTTTCCCAGTTCTCTTTAGTTATATTGCTTGATTCGGAGTAGAATTTCAAAAGAGATTTTACCCTGCACATTTTAGTCTTCTGTGAACATCACTGACTGTAGAAAGAGTAACTTCATGGAGAGCATACGTAGATTTTGTTCCTTCTCTGTAAACATCAATAATGAATATTGTTGAGATTCTTTCTTCTGCTCTTCGACAAATTCATGTACAAATATAAATACTTTCCTTTGCATATACTGATATACAACAAAGTTCTCTTTAGAAAACAGTGCATAGAATCATTTTCAAACAGAAGAAAGATATAAAGATGTGTGTGATCAAAGTCAAAAGTTTTAGTGCTTATTTCCTTTTATACTACTGTTCTTTCTTCATCATCATTTTACTTCGTATTTGTTGAACCAAGAGATCCATGTTCCCATAAGATGATCCTCCTTCTTCCATGCTCTTCTTCGCCTTCTTCCCGAGCTCTTTCACCATCTCTCTCATAATTCTTCGTTCTTCCCCTTCAACCATCAACCTGCTCACCGTCTCCTTTACATGATCTCTCCCCACCAGATCTTCATCCTGCTCTGTCCCCCACTTAACGGGAGCCTTCACTCCAATGGTTATTCCAATTCTCAGTATTTCCACAATCAGTTTCTCATTAAGAAACTGCTCTGCAAAGTGCGGCCAAGTAATCATTGGCACGCCTGCACATGCAGACTCTAACGTCGAATTCCATCCACAATGCGTCATGAATCCTCCAATTGCAGGATGTGATAATATCATCAGCTGTGGTGCCCATCCACGAATTATGAGCGCCCTCATGCTCGTCCGCTCTTCAAAGCCTTGAGATAGCCATTCTTCAATCTCGGAAGATTTGCTACCAGCTTTTATCACCCAAATGAACGGACAGTTCGAAGCCTCTAACCCTAAACCAATCTCAATGAGTTGCGATGGAGAAGTACGAGCGAGACTGCCAAAGCTCACATAGATGACAGAATGTGGTTTCATCGAATCAAGCCAGGATAGACACCGGTTCTCATCGGTAGAACCCTTGTTGCCTCTGAAAACCATATCGGAGACATTCTTATTGTACAATGACATTGGCCCAACCGTCCAAACTTTGGTCCCTCTCGCTTTTTGGAGGCACTGGACGTATGGATCCTCTAAATTGTCGAAACTGTTAACCAACACGCCCTCGGCTGCCAACTCAATGTCCATCAACTCCTTCCTGAATTCTTCAAAACCCGGACCAGTAAAATTCACAGGTGAATGAGACCTTGTCATCTCGAGTCTATGAGGCAATCCTGGCAGAACGAAAGTATCAACATCATCCTTCATGTTTTCAATGATCCTGTCAAAATGAAAGATATGTCGACAGACGAGCGCGAAGCAGCCAAAGCCATTGAATGTGAATCTGGGAATGCCAAGCTCTCGTGCTAGCTTGTGCGTCCATATATGTCCTGCATCCGACACGATGCAGTCTGGATGAGGATCTTCGTGACGTTGAAAATGATGCAGCAGGGGCTCGCGTAACAATGCGCAGGCCTGCAGGAAGTTGCTGAGAAGTTTGTTCGAGGGAACGTCATCAAGATTCTCGCACCCTTCGGGGAGGCCGACCTCGGTGGATGGGAACGGAAGGGAAAGGAATCGAATCGAGATTCTTAATTCAGCAATGCGATCGATGACGGTCTGAAGGCGAGACGCATTAACGGGAGTAGTGATGAGGGTGACGAGGGCGCCATGGTCGGCGAGGAGGTGAGCCATGTCGACCATGGGAATTATGTGCCCTGGGGCTGGGAGGGGGACTAATACAAAGTGAGGCTTTTGGTCGTCGGAATCATTGGAGGATGAGTTGTTGGTCATGTTGAGATCAAGGATTGAGTGTGCAGTGTAAATCAACAATTGAGGAGTTGTATATATATAGGCTTTGGGTCGTCGGAATCATTGGAGGATGAGTTGTTGGTCATGTTTAGATCAAGGATTGAGTTTGTAGTGTAAATTAACTGTTAAAGTAAGAGAGAGAGAGAGAATCTTGGGTAAATTTCCCTTGAATTGAATATTGAGTGTGCACATATATTTATACAAGTAGAGGAGTGTGAGGTTTGTTCTCCCAAGCAATGTGGGACTAAAACCCACTACAATACACTATTATCAACAGCCCCCTTCAAACTCATGTTGGATCAAACAAAGTGAGTTTGCGTACAAGAAACTGGAACCGATGAACAGGTAAGGCCTTTGTGAAGAAATCTGCAAGCTCGTCAGCGGATGAAACATGAGGAAGTAGAATTGTCTTGTCCTTGATAACTTGGTGACGGACAAAATGAGCGTCGATCTCAATATGTTTGGTCCTTTCATGAAATACTGGATTATTAGCAATCTGGATGGCACTCTTATTATCACAGTAGAGAGGAGTAGGAGTCGTAACAGAAATACCGAAATCACTGAGAAGGCGACGAAGATGAATAATCTCTTTAGCTGTTGTGGACATTGCACGATACTCTGCCTCAGTACTGGAAAGAGCAATAACATCTTGTTTCTTACTTCGCCAGGAAATAAGGGAATCACCAAGAAATATACAATAACCTGTGGTAGACTTTCTGGTAGTTGGATCACCAGCCCAATCAGCATCAGAATATGCACAAAGCTCTAACTTAGATGTAGCAGGAAACAAAAGTGAGCGAGTGCTAGTACCCCGGAGGTACCGAAGAATCCGTAATAAGACAGCATAGTGTACAGAACGTGGGGCACTAACAAATTGACTGACAATACCAACAGCATGAGAGATATCTGGTCGAGAGATGCACAAATAGACCAACTGACCAACAAGATGTCGATATCGGGTAGGATCAGATAGAGGCTCACCGTCAGTAGAGCAAAGTTTGACATTCTGCTGGAGTGGAGTATCGACAGTTGTATTATCAGTTAACTCAGCTTGATTTAGAATATCTGAGAGATACTTCTGTTGAGACAGTAATACACCCCGCGGGCCTTGAGAAATTTCTAGACCAAGGAAATACCGAAGAGATCCAAGATCCTTCATGTGGAACTGTTGTTGCAACTGAGATTTTGCGTATTGTATACCTGTCATATCATCACCTGTAATGATCATATCATCTACATAGATGAGTAATAAAACCCTGCCACGCGATGTAGTGCGAACAAACAGAGAAGCATCTTGATGACTTTCTATAAAGCCCGCTTTGAGCACAACATCGCGAAAACACTCAAACCAAGCGCGGGGTGCCTGTTTGAGACCATAAACAGCACGACGAAGGAGACATACATGTCCCGGAGGAATATTTGACCCTGGAGGCGGTTGCATATATACGGTCTCTGATAAAGAGCCATGAAGAAAAGCATTTTTGACATCCATCTGGTATAAGGGCCAACGATGAGCAGCAGCGACCGCAAGGAGAGTACGCACAGTGGGCATCTGAGCAACAGGAGCAAAGGTCTCCTCATAATCAATACCTTGTTGCTGAGTAAAACCTCTAGCCACTAAACGAGCTTTTCGACGTTCAATGGTGCCATCAGGACGAAACTTGACCTTATAAACCCATTTACTGCCAACAAGAGAGATCCCAGGAGGACAGGGAACAATATCCCAGGTATGAGTTTGCTGAAATGCTTGAAATTCCTCAGCCATAGCTTGTCGCCACTCTGGAATTTGAACTGCCTCTTGGAAGGACTTTGGCTCAACAATAGTATGAATGGCAGCAAGAAAGTTATGAAAGATAGGTGAATAAGAAGTAACAGAAGCATACCGGGCAGGCATGACATGTGGGCGTTTGCCTCGACGAAGAGCAAGAGGAACCTCAGGCGGGGGAGATGCTGGCGCAGGTGCATGAAGATCAACAGTATTTTCTGGAGTGAGAGTTGTGTCCACAGGATATGGATTAGATGGTGTAAGAGAAGACTCAGGTGAGGAAGAGTCAACAGAAGGAGAGGGAGAGATGTCAGGGAGATCTCGAAAGGAAAATTGAGGTGAAGAAGTGGGTGATGCAGTGGACGGGGAAGCATGATCGGTAGAGTGGAGGAAATTAAAGTCATCAGAAGTAGAATAATATGGAGAATCCTCTTCGAACTGAACATGACGAGATATATGAACTCGACGAGTTGCGGGATCATAACAACGATAACCTCGATGTTCTGAACTAATTCCTAAATAAACACAAGAAACTGCTCTGGGAGACAATTTATCACGTTCGTGAGATGGCAGAAAAACAAAACATCGACAACCAAAAACGCGAACTAGATCATAACGGGGAGGATGAGTATAAACACGACTATAAGGAGTAGCACCGGAAAGAGAGCTAGATGGAGTGATATTAATGGCATGAGTCGCGGTGAGAATAGCCTCAGCCCAGAAACGACGAGGAACAGAGTAAGAAATGAGCATTGATCGGGCAGTATCGAGGATATGACGATGTTTGCGTTCAGCAACACCATTTTGCTCATGAGTGTAGGGACATGACTGTTGAAAGATAGTCCCATGAGAGGACATGATAGAGCGCATGGCAGAGGATAGGTACTCTTTGGCACAATCAGAACGAAAAACTTTAATACGAGATTGCCATTGAGTGAAAATCATAGCAGTGAAGGCTTGATAAGCAGTAAGTACGTCAGAGCGATTCTTAAGTAGGTAAACCCATGTAAAACGAGAGAAATCGTCGATAAAACTAACATAATATAAGTAGCCAGATGAAGAAGGCAAAGGAGCTGGCCCCCAAATATCAGAATGTACTAAATCAAATAAGGAAGTGGATACAGATGTACTCATTTTAAATGGTAAAGCAGTGAATTTAGCCAATTTGCAACCAGCACATGACTCAATACTAGAACTAGATGATACAGGACCAAGTACTCCAGACTGAATAAGACTCTCCAGCCTTTTATTACACACATGACCAAGTCGTCTATGCCATAAATTGGCAGGAAGCGAGGTAGAGGGTTTTGACGAACAAAGAGAAGCAACAAGAGAACGTGGACGTATGGACTCTGGAAGGTGAAGATATTCCAGAAAATACAGTTTGTGCCTCCTACGACCCGCCCCAACCGTCTTGCCCGTCTGTGGATCCTGCACAATACAAGTATCAGAAGAAAATGAGACAAACAGGCCCGCCATGCATAAAGAGCTAATAGAAATTAAATTCAAGCACAATTGTGGAGCCACATAGACGGGACCAAGTGTTAGACGACCAGATGGATCATTTTGTGGGGTAATAGAGCCATACTGAGTAATGGACAATGGTTGTCCAGCAGCTGTGTAGATAGGAGGAAGAGAGGATGAAGTAAAGACAGAGGATAAAAGTGAGGCATTACAAGTCATATGAAAGGAACAACCAGAGTCAAAAATCCAGAGATCATTCATACCAGAGACTGAAGGATTAGCTGAAGAACCAGCAAAATGCATACCAGAGAGTTGTGCGGCGGATGTAGAGGTGATATGTTGAAAAGCATCAAGTTGACGGCGAAGACTTTCAATAGCTTGAATAGTAGAGTCTGAAGTAGTAGAAGGTATAGCATTGGCCAACAATCCTGGTGTACGAGAGGGTTGAGACTGAGGGGGTCGCCGACCACGTCCAGTACCTGAGGAACGTAACTCAGGATGAAGCTTGAAGCATGTCTCAATGCGGTGTCCTTCCTTCTTACAATATTTGCAAGAGAGCTTAGATCGAGCCTGTGGAGAGGGAGCCTGTGGAGAAGTATAATTCATAACAGGAGCAGTGACAGGTACAGACAAAACAGTCTCGAGTGAAGAGGTAGGAGTGTCTGTTGACAAATTGAGTCGTGCTGTCTGCTGCCGGGTCTCATAAGCAGTGAGAGCTCCCATAACTGAGGCCAAAGTCGGAAATTGAGGCTGGTGAAGTAGTTGATCAGCCATAGTTGAATATTCAGGAAGGGACTGAAACAATTGATGCACCTCATGCCGTTCGTACCAGGCTAGCCAGTCTTCATATGTGGAATTACGTCCAGGAAGCATGGAGCGTAACTCTGTCCAAAAAGCTTGCATTTGTCCAAAATGGGACTGCAGAGATGAACTACCTTTGCGTTGTAGAGAAATGCGTTGCAGAAGATATGCCTCCCGTGCACCCGAGCACTCAGTGAAACGCTCAGTGAGACGAGTCCACATGGCCTGAGCAGAGGGAAGCGAGCCAATCTCGACAGTGAGACCAGAGCCAACACAGCGAGTGAGATAATCCATAACACGAAATTCCTGCAATTGCCACTCTGAACTCTCCTTGACATAGAGAGCACGAGCAGTCTGAAGATCGACATCACCACTGCCAGAGGCAATAGTACTGGATGAAGCAACAGTGCTGATGGACGGTGGAACTGGTCCCGTACTGGTGAGATGATCAAGCAAACCAGCGCCACGCAAGGCATTGGTGACAATGGTGGACCACCCTGCCCAGTCACTTTGATCATTGAGGGGCAAAGGTGGTTTGGGAATCTTCTCTGAAGGAGCCATAACAGCAATCTTGAGACGTTAAGATGTCGAGATGCTGTTACTAATGTCGTTCGTTTGAGGCCGAGAGACGGCTTGAAACGACGATGCCGTTAATTTGAGACCGAGAGACGGTCTTGAAACGACAATGCCGTTAAAATAGAACCCGAAGGTTAGAATGAAACCCGAAGGTTTAAAATAGAACCCGAAGGTTAGAATGAAACCCGAAGGTTTAAAATAGAACCCGAAGGTTAGAATGAAACCCGAAGGTTTAAAATAGAACCCGAAGGTTAAACGAGAACGCGAAACGCGTTAAGAGGCCGCAAAACGACAAGGCCAAAATATCTGGCAGATGAACGCCAAATAATTAAAAATAAAAATAAAAAAAATAAAACATTAAACGGCTGCAAAGCAATAAGGCCAAGATTTGGCAAAAGAACGCAAAAGCGTTAAAAATTTTATTGAAAGGGAAATAGCCCTAGCTCTGATACCATGTTAAAGTAAGAGAGAGAGAGAGAATCTTGGGTAAATTTCCCTTGAATT